GGGGGGGGGAGGCAGAGTTCCAATGCTAAGGATGTTCTACCTTTTGGATTACACCAGCTTCAGGACTGGTGACATCGATGGTTACCTGCCAAGTAAAAATCATTCATATATAAGCCATTAATCTCCACAGAGACCTAAGAAAAAGGTGAGACTAAAATCAACTAGATGGCATTTCAAGCTATGTACCTTATCTGTTTCAATCTGAGCAATTGGCTCATCAACTTCTACTCTATCACCAGGATCTGCTCAAAGAAAAGGAAAGAGGAAAGACAGTTCAGAGAATTAACGAATACCACCGGACTGAAGATAGATCACGGACAATATCAACAAACACATACTCTTCAGGAACTTGGCCAGTGTCCCATCACTTATGGATTCACCCATAAAAGGAACAACAGCATCAACCTGGTCACCTTCAATACAATTATAGAGAAGCAATATGAGAAGGGATAAGGTTTGACATACAAGAGGAGAAAGCAAATGAAAAAACAATTTAAAAGATGGAAGCATCCAGCAGATTTCAGAATGCACCTTAGATATTCCCCCATCGTTCAAACTATAAACCAAGTACAAATTTCCTACCAGTTCATAATTCTACTCCACCAGATTCTAAGTTATAAGAAAGGGTCAATAAACTTAATGAAGAAGCATCCAGCAGATTTCATAATGCACCTTAGATATTCCCCCATCGTTCAAACTATAAACCAAGTACAAATTTCCTACCAGTTCTTATTTCTATTCCACCAGATTCTAAGTTATAAGAAAGGGTCAATAAACTTAATGAATTAACTTCTCATGACATATTCTTTTTTTTTTATGGGTAAATAATATATTATATATATATTTGCACTAAGCTAGTGCAACAGGCGTAATTACAGGTTGTGCAAATCAGCAATTGCGTCTAAAATATCATCTACATCTGGTACAAAAACTAGTTTGCACCAAAAAGCAATCAACAAAATGCAATTGAAGTTTAAGGCACTGTATATTTCTTCTTTTGCCTTCAAAAATTCTACTGTTTCTTTCAAGCCAGACAGACCACCGGATAACTTGAGGAACAGTGTTCCAGGTCTTTTGAGCTTGCTTGCATAGACCCTCCCTGGTCCAGTACTTCAGCATTTCTGTAATGGAGTTAGGCATGGTCCAAGGCATACCAAATATTGAAAAAAACATGTTCCATAACTGGCTTCTAACCCTGAAATGCAAGAAAAGGTGGGTAACTTCTTCATATTGTTCTTCACATAAAGGACATCTGCTGCACAGCTTGAAACCTCACTTCTGGAGATTGTTTTTTGTGAGGCATGCCTCCTTAGCCACAATCCAAGAGAAGCAAGAGACCTTTAAAGGTGCCATGTTGTACCATATTTTTTTCCAAGGCCATAACTCATTGTTGCTAAAACCCAACATACTATAACAGTTTTTAACTGAAAATGCCCTTGGACTGACCCTTCCAACTGATAGAGTCCATTTTGGCGTGGTCCAAAACAGTGTTGCTTAGCATTTGTAGCAAGAGACCTATCCTCTCCATTTCCCAAATCACTAATATTCCTTCTAAGACTCAAATTCCAGCCTTGCGATGTACAGAAATCTGCAATTGCCCCATTGTGACACAACGATAGATTATAAAAATCTGAAAATTGGTCTTTTAGTGGTGTATGAACCAGCCATGTATCTTCCCAAAACCTGATTTTCCTTTCATTGCAAAAAATAAACCCATGTTTGACAGCTGTTTAATATCTATATAAGACCTCAATAAAACCCATCTTCCCAAAACCTGATTCTCATGACATATTCTTTCACAGCTTATGCATTCTAATTATTCAATAGGCTTCTATTGTCGTCTGCCCCTGGTTGCGAAGCAGACCTTGGGGGGATTACATAGTTTCCAGATGATGGGGTCAGTTCTTCTTAATGATATTGATGTCGATCATAATGACGATATGTTGCTTTGATAAAAGAAATTATATTCTTGTTGCTGGAGATGATATAGAACTTGACATGGAGTTGGAACTGCTTACAAGCTATGTACCTTTGGATAGATAATGCAAATACTTCTTTAACTCCCATATTGAAATATACAAATACTATAAGTCTATAACTAACAGCCAAACATTCGGCACAATACTAGGAAATAATAAAATACCTGTACCGCTGTTTAATATCTATATAAGACCTCAATCCCAAAAGAAAAGAAAAGGAAAGGTATCCAACTGATAAGTTTGATATCTTCACTAGAAGTTGTGGAGATGATATTCATTCAGGAGAGAAGGTACAACTGACTTCAAGGTATCCAACTGATAACTGAAAATGCTTAAAAACACTAAAGAACAGAGGAGATGGAACCATGATCAATTGTAGGAACAATACCAAGAGACGATATAACATTTTTGGACGATATCATATACATTGTAAGCATATGCATGACTAATTTCATTTGTATCGAGATTCCAGCAAAGCTTAATTACAATAGAAATATACCACTATTTGCACAGAATGGCCTGCTCCAATTCGGTAGCGTTGGACTTGACCAAAGATTGATAACAGCTCCCCTGCAAGCAATGTACTAATTCATATAAACCAACTGGACACAGACACACACACACATGTATATATCCACACGCGCACGCGCGCGCGCACACACACACATAATGGCAAAACTAGGAATTTTCCAAGGGTATTCAAATTTGAAAGAATTAAAAAAAAATTACGGCAAAGGGTGTTCAATATGTTATATACCTCTAAAACGTAATATTTTACATATATACACAGTGCAATTTTCCGACGAAGGGTGGTCAGTTACCATGTGGCTTCGCCACTGTGTGTGTATATATATAGTGAGAGAGTTAACAATCACCAAGTCTTGTATTTTTGCTAATTAACATGAAAGAAAGAAACTTCAAGCATCACAACAAGGTACCCTTACGAAAAATTATGACATCCGAACATTCCCGAAACCCATACAATTTGAATTTGGTAAATGCATATGGTCTTTGGTTGAACTGAAAATGAAGCATCCAGGCTTGATTTAGTACAAACCAACTAAAATTGGTAACATATTTAATTATCTGCGAATACTATTCCTTTTTCTATCTTGAAAGGAGATCTGGATATAATTTAATTCATGTTAAGACTTCAAGTGCTTATAAGCAAGCCATCTAATTTGCATTAGCCTAGTTGTTTGGTAGGAGTATATTTAGTTGGTTATAGGAAAAAATATGATATTCAGTATACTTCATATTTATTGAGTAATGGAATGAAATGAGTTGGAGCGGAATGGATATAGAAGAATGGATATAGAAGATTCATACAGCCAACCCCAGCTTGTTTGAGATTTGAAAGACAGATAGAAACAGGTGAATACTAACCCCAATATGTATGACACTATTGATTATATCATTTTAGTACATCCCAAATGCTTGAGACAATTTCAAAACCACATGATGTTAAATATGATCTTGTCGACAACAAAGAAATTAGTCACACAAACTTCAACAATTATAATATTGTCTTCTGACTATAAATGTGTATGATAGTGCAAGTCTTTAGTTAGCGATAAAGAATAGTGTAAGTCATTTAATTTGTTATTCTTTTTGGAAAATCAAGCTATGTGATATGCACACACTGTCGTTCTAATATAGGCACATTCAGTAACAGAGGTCTACCCATCTCCATCTCCCTTGTGGATAACACAGTAATTATTTAGAGCGCCTGAGTTTTAAGTTGCTCAAACGAGCAAATGAAAACACAAAAGCAGCTCCAAAATACTGAGCTAGGTCCTAAGAAATGCAAATAACAAATTTAAACGCAGCGGCATGGTGAATTTTACCAAGTTTGACCTATGCAGAGAAATGTAGAATGGCTAATTCAGAAGGACATTGCGCATTTGTTCATGCTCTAAGCCTTCAAATAATAAATGCAAGGTGTATTAGCAGTAATAGACACTAACCTTTCTGGCCTCAAATTCGATGAGCACCCTGTATTAGGAAGTAGGAGTTAATTATAACAGCAGCATGATGCCAGTATGAATGTATTAAGTTATCATAGATTAACTACACGTACCAGGTAGCATAAGCTGACTGAAATTCCGCGCATGACCACATTGTCTAGTAAGAGGTGATGTCTGTTCTCGTATTCAAAATAAGTTACAACAACATTCTAAGCGGGATTAGAAATAGAATAGCAGGAAGACTAATAGCATAAAGTTTCGCGTTCAAACATAATTTTTTTTTTTTT